TATAATCTCAACAACAACAAATAAAAGCAAAAAACTTTATGGATAACAACAGAACTAGATTATCATGACCTCAGTTCTTCTGTATGAGAGGCAACCTGCTGCTCAGACAAGGAACTTAAGTGCTATTCCTTTGGGGTTGCTAAAAATACAACATAAATTAAAGGCATGGAAAACTAATTTTGCTTTGGTGACTATATTCCATGACTATAAAGTATATCTTCATGCCAAACAGTCATTTCATAAACATGTGCATTACAAAGAGAACTAAAGAGAATCAACACAAAAAAATGAGAACTAGAATATACTAATGCACCACTCCTAAATTTAAAAACGCCCTCTATTCCAAATTAATGCTAACATCCCAGCTAGCCTGTAAGCATATAAATTAGTACAATCCTTTGAAATACAATCTGGCATTACCAAGAAAAACTAAGCATGCATATACCCTAGGGAATATCAACTCTACTCCTAGATATATATATATACTCTAGTACAGCTTTCCAACTCAGCCCTGAGGAGGGTTTAAAGGTGTACTGAAATACTGATTCCCCTAAGTCCTGACCATGGCCAAGTACAACCTAATTAGTGCTGTGGAGTCAGTTAGTTCCAACACATAGTGACCCTGTATAGGGCGTCCAAGGCTTTTAAATCTTCGCAGTTGTAGAAAAAAAGCCTCATCTTTCTACCACGGAGTAACTGGCAGGCTCGAACCCCAAAGACCTTGATGTTCACAGTCCTGTGCTTATCGTATGGAGCTACTGCACTCCAAAGTACAAACTGTGTTTCTGTTGTTAAGTGCTGTCAAGTTGGTTTCTACTCCTAATGATCCTGTATAAGGTTTCAGAGGAGCAGCTGGTAGGTTTGAACCACCAGCCTTGTGTGTCAAACTGAGCTTGCAGTCCAGTGCATCATCCTGCAGTGCCACACCAGGACCCCGAAGTACAACATTGTTGTTAAGTGCCATCGAGTAGATTCAGACCCATACCGATACTGTATAGGGTTTCCAAGGTGCAGCTGGTGAGTTTGACTCATCACCCTTGCAGTTCAAATGACTTTGTAGTCTGAAGCATTAACCCACAGTGCCAAATCTTCATTCATTTGCACTGTGCCAAACAAATACTATCATTTTTAAAGTACACTGTGATTAAATTCTTGCAAATGATTTCCAGAATATGTGATCATAGCAGCATTATACATAATAGCAAAAAATTGAAACGAACCACATAGCCATCAACAGTAGAACACATGTACACACTGTGGTATAAAATCTGAATACTATACTAAAGTAAAAATGAACAATGAAGTAATTTTCCAAAAGTATAATTTTTAGCAAATGAAACAAATTAGAAGAATACAAACAATATGCTACATTTATATAAAATTCAAAAACTGGCAAATCTTCAGTGTTGTGGTGCTACAGAAGAAGCACCGGAATGCTAATCACAAGGTTAACAGTTCAAACCCACCAGCCACTCTTTGGAAACCCTACACAGGGTCACTATAAGTCAGAACTGACAGCTCTTAACAACAACAGATGCTATAACCAATAAGTGGCACAATGGATTATGCATTAGTCTGCTAACCTCAAGATCAGCAGTTCATATCCAGCAGCTGCTCGATGGCAGAACATGAAGGTTTTCTGCTCCCAAAAGATTTACAGCCTCAGAAACCCTATACAGCATCACTATGAGTCAGAACCCATTCAACAGCGCACAAGAACTACCACCACCACTACCAGGTGCGAAAGCTACAAAGAAAAGCGACAGAATGATTAACACAAAATTTATGAGAAGCAGAGATGGAGACACTATCCGGGGTTCCTCAAGGCAGTATTTCCCAACTATTTTCACATTAGAGCACACAGAGAAGACAGCATTATTTGCACTTCACACCAGAGTCAGAGAAGGCTACTCAAAATGAGAGGAGCTCAGCCGAAGGTTCCCACAGCCACAGCAATGGCAGAAGAGACTAACATCTGAGAACACCAGTTGGGAACTCTACTCCACAACAGTGGTAATATCCCATTTCACAAGATAGACATTGGGTACACTAGAAATTCATTATTTAAACTGTACACATTTCATGATCTTTTGAATACACAAATTAGTTCTAATAAAAATTAAAATCAAGATCTTAGTCAAAGTTTCCCCACAATCTGACCTGACCATTACCAAGTCTGATCTTATTGCTAAACAAGAAAGATCAGAAATTCCCTTTCTAACAAAACAGCATGCTCATCTCCACTCCAAGTTCTAGCTCATGACTACATCTAGAATGCACTACCTCCTCTTCTCCACCTATCCATTTCCTAATCACCCTTTAGGGTCTAGCTCAAGACCCACTTCCAAAAAAAGATTTCCAACAAAATCCAGTTGAACAAATCTCTTCATTAACAGGACTATTTCTTATTGTCGAGACCCACTTCTGTACTGCTTTGAATTGTTACCTGACTTTTACTGCTACTTCCATACTTGTTGTTGTTAGGTGTCATCAAGTTGGTACTGACTCATAGCGACCCTATGCACAACAGAATGAAACACTGCTGGGTCCTGGGCCAACTTCACTATTGTTGCCACACTTGAACCCACTGATGCTGCCACCTGGCCAATCCATCTCGCTGGGGGTCTTCCTCTTTTTCTCTGACCCTCCACCTTACCAAACATGATATCCTTCTCCAGTAACTGGTACCTCCTGACAACATGTCCAAAGTATGAGAGATAAAGTTTAGCCATCCTGGTCTCCAAGGGGCACTCTGGCTGCACTTCTTCCAACACAGATCTGTTGGTTCTTTTGGCAGTCCATGGCACTTTCAATACTTTCCTCCAACACTAGTATAGCTGAAAAATACTAAATTTGGAGCCAGAAAATGTGAATTCAACTCCCCCAGCTACAATACCTCTGAGAAATTTCCATCACCATTCTGAGCTTCAGTCACTGTAACAATTTATGGAATACTGCAACTCGTTAAGGATCGAGGAGTACCACAAAATTCACCAATCTGTGCTCAGTAAATATTTGTAACTTTGAATGTTTGGTAATTGCTAACCTAACCTACAGGGCCAAAGCAGCCAGAAATGATTTCATGTACAATAACAGAGCAAATGAGATGTTCAATGTAAGTAAATTTCTAAATAACAAAAGGCTATCTCTTTGAGTACCATACTTTGTGTTTTGTATCTATTGAAGATTTTTAAATATTTCTAAAGCATAATTACAAATTCCCTTCCTTTCTGAGATATAATATATGTATCATTTAAACTTTCATTAATGATTTGAGCCAGAATTGTGATTATAATTCTCTACTGCAATATAATACAGTAACTCACCAAGTAGATGTACACAGAGCTAGTTACTGTGGTTTTCAAATTATACCTGTTTTTGTATTTTTTCCCATTTCCATCTCTACACTCAAAATATCAAAACCTATCTCTGACAACTCTATCTTCCACTGTATTAGCTACTCCTAATTCATGTCTCCTGGAAACCAGGTAAGAGTAAACAAATTCCTTTTACTATATAAACAAATTCCTTTTACTATATAAGCTAAGCGGCCCTTTATATGTATGTAAGTGTGTGTGTGCCTGCCTTCTTTCACTGAGCGTGTGTTTGCTTTGCTTTGTTTTTTATTGTTTTAAAGATAGACATAACAACACATTTGTCAATTCAGTATTTTCCACATGTACAATAGTGTGATGTCAATTACTTAATCCTGCTGTGCAACTATCAAAGGGCTCTTTATAAAGGCTAACCGGCTGACAGCTCTGCTCTACATCTCTGAGGTTGCTGGGTAAATGGATCAATCACAGATCATCTCATATTCACCCAGTCCCACACAGATGTTCTCAAAACTGCCTGAGGAATTCAAACCACGCAACCTCTACTGATGTTGAATAATAATTCTTTTTTTTTTTTTTTTCAATAGTAAAAGCATTTATTATCAAGTGAATTGGGGGACAAAATGTGCTTTAAATACTATGGGGGGGAACACCACACCTCCACACAATTACAACCGAAGACCTGACATTTGTGCACCTCAGACATCTTTATTTCACTCCTGTTATGCAGTGAATTCATCGAGAATAAGTTCTAGCAGCTCAGGCTCCTTTCCACTGGTTCTCACAAAGTGCGCCTCTCTGCGGGGAGCAGGCTGGTGCTTTAGTTCAACCTAAGTACTTTTCTCTTTGGCTTCCTTCTTTTTCTGATCATTTTCCTTCACTTCAGGAAGCTATCTCAGCTCTTAGAGTGCTTAATATGCTCAATGCTCACATTAATTCTAATGGCAAGAATCTTGCCCTTGACTTGCTTGTTCACAACAATGCCGACAGCACATTGGTTCACATTGTAGACTCTTTCAGTTTTGCTGTGGTAACATTTGTGGGTCTTGCCCATTCCCTTGACGTCCACAATATCGCTTTTCTTGTAGAGCTGCAAGTATGTAGCCAAAGGAATGACCCCATGTTTTCTGAAAGGCCTGGAGAACAGAGAACAGGTGCCCCACGTCTTTCCCTTTGTGTTTGTCATCTCGGTAGATTACTGCAAGATGGCGGCTCCGGCCAAAAGGTGAATAATAATAATTCTTAACACCCATGAAGCCAATCTATGATAGGCACTAAAAGACATTATTTTTAAAACAAAGGAAAACACCTTGGTAACTGTTCTCACGTAGCAAAGCTTAATGAGTAGCAATAAGAACAGACAACTTTCCAGATTCCACTTTGCAAGAAAAGATCTTTCTATAATTCTGGTGAAAGAAGCAACTGTGCTTTAATAGAAAGAATAGCTAATAAAATGGGGCATATCTGAAGAGCAGTTTGAGAATGACGGTGAAACTTCTGGAAATACCTGAAAATCTGATCAATGAGTAAGCATTCCTTCTTAGTAGTTCGGTACAAGTTATAAAGTCATGTCTTTTTCCCACTGACTATTAACTCCAATTAATAAACACTAGTCTATAAAGAATGAATAGCATAATAACTATATATGATATTCAAGAAGCATACCTCATTAAAGCGCTGAAACAAAACAGACGGCAAAAAATCTTGAGGTTGTAAGTCAACAGAAGGCCCCGTCCAGTTACTCTGAACAAAAAGTTGCAAACTGCTCACACCAAGTAGGAATATCAGCTGCTGTCTACACAAAAGAATAAAGAAATAAATATGAACAATTGTCACTGTATAACTTCAGACACACTATTACATTTCAGTAAGATAAAAACTAACATTTGTGGAGACTAGACTGTTAAAAACAAAAGTTTCTGAAATTTTCTGGTGTGGTGCTGCAGGATAAACACTGCACTGCTAAAATCACCAAGACATATAATAATCAAGCTCTCCAAAGTCAAAGATAAAGGCAGAATCCTGAAAGCAGCCAAGGAAAAGAGAAGTGTAACACACCAAGCAAATCAGATTAAGCTTGGATCTCTCAACAGAAACCATAAAGGCAAGACGGCAATGGGAAGACACATATAAAACCCTGAAAGAAAAAAACTGCCACCCAAGAATCCTCTACCAGGCAAACCTGTCAATCAAATATAAAGGTATAATCAAAACCTTCCAGGATAAACAGAAGCTAAGGGATTTTGCCAAAGCCAATCCTGCTATGAAAAACATCCTAAAGGAAGTTCTTTGGACTGAGAACCAACAAGAACAGAAAACAACCAGAGAATGACGTACATGGCAGCATCACCCTGAACTTAATCGACAAATGGAATCAAGAACAGAATAAAATTATAAGAACAGAGGATCAGGGAGGTCAGTCTATGATCAAAACAATTATAATGTGAAAGAAGGTAAACACAGAGGAACACAGATCCAGGTGGTGAGAAGGTCAGGTAAATTACAGAATAGAATAGACTGTCTTAAATGGAGGGAAGAGTTAATGGAATATAAGGTAATCACAAGAGTAGGGTTTAGGTGGGGGAATTTTAGTACAGGTGTTGGGGAGGGCAAATAAAAGAAGGGAGAGGGGGTAGACGAACAAGATAGATAGGGGAACACTAAGACAGGTTTGCATGGCCTAAGTCGGGCAGAGGTAAATAGTGATGCACGCTCAACCTTGGAACAACAGGGCTCTGGGATACAGAGATCTAGGAATAGTTTGGAGAGGGGAAATAATACTAAAATACTTGACTATCTTATGAATATTGGTTTCCCTTGCCTACTATTGTAAAATAGACACATGAATGGGATAGAGAGGAATGTTGAGAAACATGATTACAGAAAATTTGTAAGCCCATCTTCAGCCTATAAATGACTGGAATACCTAAAAGGGGTTCTAGAACTTGCCCAATGAAATAAGCATCTTGCAAAGCCTTTGCAGAGTATAGGACCTTAGGTGGAATCCTGAGTCGCATCCAGAACCTTATGTGGTAGGAGATTCCCACTAACAAGGACAAGCAGACCAGCCTGGAACAGGTAGAGCAACAGAAGATACATCTTCAAAGAAAGATCATCAGGAAAAACCCAAAACGAAAATGTCAGCATGATTGGCTACTACAAGAATAAGCAAGCTGTTAGGCAGGAAGACATCAAGGCAAGCAATCAGTTCCTTCAGGCCGAACTCCCCTCTAAGACTGAAACTAAAAGGGAACACATGAACAGGCATGTAAGCTTGCTGGCGACCACATGGGTCTACTGGTGAGTGGAAGAGGGGGAAAGGCAGCAATGATGAAATAGGCTGAGTTCAACCACAATCCATTGACTCCCGTTAACCTGGAGATGAGAGAGAGAAGAGGAAGGGCTGATTGGTCCAAAGAGTGGTGAGACCTGGGGACACCTGAGTCCATGGACAAGGACATAGCCACAGAGGGGTAGAGCTGAGAGTGAAGCATCCAGCTGATAGAAGTGAGGGAGATCGTCTTGTCTAGATGGGTCTGGTGAAAAGAGATGGGGATGATTCATATAATTCAATAGTGAGTAACTGTTATCATGACTAAATGTGACTGTCACAATTGTAAAGGTAGTTTTGTAACAAAAAAAGGGGAGTGGTTAATCTTACAGTCCAGAAACATAGAGCCCTAAGACCATCAAGGGAGATTAGCACAAGCAGAATGCGGGACCTTACCCAGAGAAGCAGCGACACCAGAGACGGAGGCAGAGATGGGGTCGTTGAGAGGGGAAGCGGCTGAGGACTCTAGATTCATGGGAAGAGAGGGACTAAGAGCTGGTGGGCAGGAGGCAGACTTGCAGAATGTGCCCTTCAGAAGTGTAAATTATTATATATGCCTGAGTGTTTTCTGTTTTGTTTTTTTTAAAAAAAAAAGCTAACGTGAATAGAGAGAAATATTGTTAACTGATGGTACTTGGAGGGAATTATAGTCATTGTAATGAAACAAGGTGTATGATTTGTTGAATATACAACTGATGATTTGCTCTGTAAACTTATACTCAATCCACAACAAACACATTAAAATAATAATAATAATAACAATGTAGTCCTCCAGCTACCCTATCCACATTTCCAGTAGTCAACAGCCACATATGGGCAGGGAGGGCTGTACTGGGCACTGTATATGCAGAACACTCCATCATCACAAAATATTCTCCTGGGCAGCACTGGTTTAGGCCCCCATCAGGCACTTGTAACTTTTCTTTCATTTTATTTAATAGCTGACACATTGTAAGGAGACGTATAAAAAAATCACAAATTTTATATAAAAGAAAACTAACCATAAAAAGTTTGTTTTTATCTTTAGAGTTTATTAACATTTTGTAGGCCTGGTGTGGCGTGTAGAATAAGCACTCTTCCACAAGGTCAGCAATTCAAACTTACCAGAGGCTCCTCAGAAACCCTACACAGAGTCACTGAGTCGGGGCCAACATGACAGCACTTAACAACAACAACAATTAGCATGTTATTGATCTTCTTCTACCAGCTGCTGGCACAATTCAATTGTTCTAGAAATTGCAACTGAACATGCTTTGGCTTAAGATGGGGTGGGTAAACTTTTTCTGTAAACAGGTAATAATATTTTCGGCTGTGCATTTAAGAAGCTTTGGTGGATTTGGTTTTTGTTTTGTTTTTTCTCAACCCTTTAAAAACATAATCATTCTTACCCACTTTGCAAAGCTGTAACTTGCCAAACCTGGTTTAAGATAGAAATCCTGGACTTTCATTCTGAACAGAAAGTCACAGTAGTCATTCTCTTCTCCCCACATTCGTCTCTTACTTCAAAAGAAAGGTTCTTTAAACAAAAAAATATCAAGCCCAAATGCTTATGGAAGCCAAAAAGTGAAACTATGGATGCAGCAAAACTGAGAGCAGAGACAAAAGTAAGTAGCCTTAGCGAACACAGATAACAAGAGCCAATTTTAGTTAGAAGTTAGGAAACTTGTGTAAAACAGGTATGCAGTAAGATCTCAATGCCTTAGTATAAACATTTTAACTAGAAAACAAATCCTTAAAGTGAATTGAGATTCAGTTCAATTTCCAAACACATCAAAACGAGGTATCTGAAGTGTCTTTTTTTATCTCAGTGCAGCAAACTAGAATTCTGCACTACAGGTGACTAATGGATATGTGGGTTTTAACATGCAACCATAGGCTATATAAGAATCACAAATAACAATGCAGAAATATAAACTAGAAGTGCACCAGTAATATGAAAAATGAGTATCATATTTTTTTAAACAATAGAAAAAGCCTATGGTAACTCTCATAGAGTCCTGGTGTGGCACTGTAGGATAAGCATTGAACTGCTGATCACAAGGGCTCCATGAAAACCTTACACAGGGTCTTACACAGGACTATGAGTCAGAACTGACTAGATGGCACTTAACAACAACAAATAGTAATATTCTGATGTCTGAGTGGTGCTACCAACAAACACTCTCCTTATTAACCAAAAGGTTGAAGGTTCAAGTACACCCAAAGGAACCTCAGAAGTAAAGCTTGGTGATTTACTTCTGAAAAATTCAAACACTGAAGATCTTATGACACAAATGGGGATCGCTATAAGCAGATTCAACTAAAGAGCAACTAATAACAGTTATAATAACATTCTATTGTGAACTCCTAAAGGATACAATCGCATCTAACTCATTTCCAAGCCTCAATACTTAATATGAGGGTAAGTCAGAGAGTATTGCTACTAGAGTTCCACTATATACATGGCTGCAAACAATCTCTCAGTAATGCATTTTGCCTTCATCTCGTTAGGATGCCCTCAAGTAAAAGGTCCAATCAAAAAGTAGCTCCCAAGGGGATCTGCTGGCTCAGTTCAATTCAAGGCAGAGAAGTTAGTTCAGGAAACTGGTGAGACTATTTCTGGGAATTCCAAAGCGGTAATCTTGATAGATTTTCTCAAATGACACAGGACAATCACAGCGGCTTTCTCGGAAGAAGTTTTAAGCAAATGGAAAACTGCATTGTTGAGAAAAGGCCATGAAAGTTGTAACAAGCGCATTTTTTTCCATCACGACAATGCACGTGCTTATTCTTCCAGGGTAACAGGCTATCCTGGGAGAATTTACTTGGGAAACCTCACCTCATTCACCCTACAGCCCTGATCGTTCCCCCTCACACTTCATTTTATTTCTAAAACTCAAAGATAATTGGAAAGGAACACAATTTGAGTTCCTCAATGATGCCAAAACTTCTGTTTTGACATCTTGTAAACTGAATAGTGCAGACTTCTTTGGGAATGGGTTAAAGAGACGGAAACACTGCCCACAGAAGTATATAGACTTAGATGGAGGATGTATCAAAAACAATAGCTTCACCTTTTGACATTTTTATTTAATAAATATTTCCACTTGGTCACCTTAGAGCAGGTGGTGGGCCCACAACGACGGGCGCATGGGGTCCCCAGCTGATCTCCTCCCTCCCTGCCTTCCTCGGATGGCGGCTGTTTATGCTGGACGTGTGGCCAGAGACGGGTAAGGATCACGTGGAACCTCGGCTACTT